AGAGGAGGGCAACGTTGGGGTCAGTCCTGTGAGAGGAGGGCACCGCTGGGGTCACTCCTGTGAGAGAAGGTCAATGCTCGGGTCAGTCCTGTAGAGGAGGGCAACGTTGGGGTCAGTCCTGTGAGGGGAGGTCAATGCTGGGGTCAGTCCTGTAAGAGGAGGGCAATGCTGGGGTCAGTCCTGTAGAGGAGGGCAACGTTGGGGTCAGTCCTGTGAGAGGAGGGCAACGTTGGGGTCACTCCTGTGAGAGAAGGTCAATGCTCGGGTCAGTCCTGTAGAGGAGGGCAACGTTGGGGTCAGTCCTGTGAGAGGAGGGCAACGTTGGGGTCACTCCTGTGAGGGGAGGGCACTGCTGGGCTGGGGTTCTGGCCCCAAGGACAAGCACAGATGCACTTCTGTGCTGTTTTCTCTGGATGTTGAGAAGGGGCTGCGACCAAGTGTTGATTCCTCATTGTCCTTGTTACAGACACATGCAGGCGACAGACCGTGAAGCTGACTATGGGAGGACACCGAGCACGCCGCTGGGTGACCTCTGCCCCGTCACGTTACCTTCTGGACCTCATTTCCTTCAGCTGTAAATACAACCAGGTCCGTATAAACGGCACTGCAGGCCTCCTACAAGTCTGTGAAGGTGACACGCAAACCTTGTCCTGTGACCCTGTGCAGGTGACACAGGGAATCCCATGCAGCTTTTGCACGAGTGAAGGTTGAGGGGACCCCAGCCTGCCAAGGAAGCACCCCCTGACCCCTGGACAGATCTAACTCAAAGCTTCTGACTCGAGAAGCTTCAGGGCATTCAGATCTGTGTTTGTGTCGTCACTGCTCTTCGGTGGCGTCACGTCAGTTTCTCTTCCTTGTGACCCTTGTCACAGCAGAGCACACCACCAGCTCAGTTCCTGGGAAGCGAGGGTCCAGCTGCTCCTCTCCAGTGAGGACTTCCCTGCTGCCACCACCTTCCCCACAGGGCTCCACCGTTGTGAGGAGATCCACGGGCGATGCTCCAGAAATGCCAAGTGACTCTGCCATTTGCTTGTTTACCCGTTTTGCTGCTTTCCACACTTGGAGGTCAGTGTCCAGGTCACTGGATTCTGGCAGGGACACAGCCCAAGTTGGGCCCAAGCCCATGGGCCCTCGTCTGTCCAGAAGGGACATGTTCTGCCCATCATTCTTATGACTCATGACACACTTCACCCCCGGTGGTGACCAGACCTTCCATCTACAAGTCCGGGAACACTGGGCTGTGCCCTGAATAGCCCCTGAACTAAGACTACACGCTCTGACCTTCTCACTCAGTCTGTGGCACATGTGAGGTCAGACACAGGGGGGCAGCTGTCAGCAAGGGTCGTGGTGTCCACCAGCTGACTGCTCAGTGCTCCAGACCTTAACCTCCCGCTGGTGTAGGTCAGCACTGTCCAGGTGGCACCCTTCCTCCATGTGAGTCCGTGTGTCCTCTGCTCTTTGTAGGATCAAGAGCCCTGTGCTCCAGCCTGACCTCATGTTACCTGACAGATAACACCGTCAAAGTCCCCACTTCCAAATAAAGTCCCCTCCACAAGCGTATGAGTGACACTATCAGCGGAGATGACCCTCAAAATGCCTGTCTATAAAATTTTTGTGCAGCATTTCAGCAGGAAGCTATGTTTCTATAAAAATGAAAACAGAAGCCCACCTTATGTGGACTGTATACCAACAAGGCTAAAACTATGCTAGGTTACTTTTTCAACTTCTAAATTATCTGAGACAGAGAGACTGGCTCAGGATAGGACAGGGTTCAGAGCTATTGTGCATAGGGTCACTATGAGTCACAGGTGACTCAACAGCACACAACAACAATAAGAAAACAACAACGAAGTGTCTGACTAAGGATGACAGAAGAATAATCAAGGTCTGTGAACTGTGGTGCTGGGAGGAGTGCGGAATATCCCACAGACGGCCAGAAGGACAAGCAGACACACTCTGGAGAAGGTGCAACCAGAGAGCTTCTTGGCGGCAAAGATGGTGAAGACTCGTCTCACATACTTGAGGCATGGTGTCAGGAAAGGCTATTCCTTGGAAAGGGACATCGTGCTGGCAAGGTGGAAGGTTATCTTCAACCGGATGGACAGACACAAGAACAGAAACCATGGGCTCAAGGATGCAAGGGAGGGCCAGGAGGGCGCAGCATAGAGGAGGGTTCGAATCTCTGTCCACAGGGTTGCTGTGAGTTGTAGCTGACTTGATGGTATGTGGGGAGGTCCCTGGGGTGGGGGTGACACTATGAGTTGCTTTGCTGGTGGCTCTATCCCTGGTGACAATACTGGAAGGAGTTCAGACTTTCTGGGGACACAGAACAATCCTCACCACTGTGTTCACTTGCGCCCCACATGACACAGCTTGCATCACCCTCCCCCACAGGACCGAGCCCCCCAGCTGCCCTGCACCTGCCATCTCCCTCTCAGGGTTGCACGCAGTGGTTTGTGTTTCTAAGTGCAGGCCTGCAGGACGCTGTTATGTCCTCTCTCACTGGTTTGACCCCATCTTTCTAGCCCCTTTATGCATCTGGGGAGGCCTTTATCACCAGCATGAAACCCCCCTTCCCCACGTGGAGTCCATTTCAGATGCAGTGAAGCCGTCCTTCGTGCCACGCTGTGCCCAGCTGCTTGTGCTCACTTCGTGAGCTGGTCACTGTCACACCACCTCACCCCTTTCCTTGGAGTTGCGCTCCCTTCACAGATGGCGCAGTGTCAGGAGAACGCTCCATGTGCAGGGGGTGGTCACAGTGAAGGAAGAGCATGACTCACTATCGTCATCATCATCCTGCCTCCATGGCTGAACGAAACCTCCCCCTCCAGGTCCTCCAGCGATGTCGGCTGTGAGGAGAGGCGGACGGTCTCTGAACTAGGCCTAAGCCCTGACTGAGGAAGGAAACTGTCACTGTTTCCTAATTCCCACTAGCTTTCTAATTTGTAGACAGATAGGTAGATCAGACAGTGAGAGGAAGAGAGGATCGAATTCATGTGCTCAGAGAGAGGACTTAGCTGGATTAGTCAGCAGCTAGAGGTCTTCAACAGCCCCCAACAGCCCTCAACAGCCCTCAACAACCCCCAACAGTCCCCA